AAGGCAGGTATTGGGCGCAGTTGGTGAAGAAAAAGCACCCTGATCGCCAGAATGGGCCCTCGTATTATGATAATGGTCAGAATTATGAGCGCATGGACTTTGTCCGCATTCAGTTGGCTGTGTATGAACTGTACGTCGATTACCTGGATTATTTGGTCAAACGTCATAACCTGCCCTCAGATGTAGCCGCTGTGGACACCCGTGCGATACCGTATCCCCGGTATCTGAAGAGCTCATCAGTTGGTAATTATTGTTAATTGAATTTTTAAAATAATTTTGATAATCAAATGGTAATTTTTATTAAAATATTTAATGTATTAATATTGTGCATAAGTTGATGTTTATGTATAATATAATTTAATCTTTATGCTTAAATGAAATTATTATTTTGGGATCCAGTTCACAAATTTTAAATATAAACCTTTAAAAATGCCCAAAACTAGTTTATATAATTAAAAATCATTAATTTATTATTAACTAAATTACATTAACCTTTTTTGAATATAGGAAGTATGAACATGTTGGAAGTGCTGGGAATGTTAGTCATCACGAGTTATATAATAATGTGTCCATTGATTGTGAAACGTATTTGCGATGAAAAGGCGGCCAAAGCTAAGGAAATGCTCAAAATGATGGGTTTGAGTGATTGGGTGTTTTGGGGCTCACATTTCATCAACTATTTCATTATAATGTTTATACAATCGGTATTAATCGTAGTATTTTTGTGCGTGGGTTTTGGTGGACTACCATTTGTTGTCTATAGCAACGCGTTTGTACTGTTAATCGCCCTGGTGCTATTTAATATAAACACAATATTAAATTCTATGTTTATAACCACCATGTTCAATCGCCCGGTGATCGGTGTAGTGGTCAGTGTTATATGGTTTGAGGTCTCGCATGCGGTGCCGATGGGAGCGTTGAGTACAATGTATAACCAGGATATAGATGTCGAGGGCACCACCAATTCGCGTATACTCTCCTGTTTTCAGCCCAACTCAGCCATGCAATGGATGTTCACAGTTATGGGCCAATGCGAGACTTACGGTTATGGATTAACATGGTCAAATTTGTGGTCAAATGTGCCACGATATGGTCATTTTAGTGGAGGATTAGTGTTATTAATGCAATTTGTGTCCATATTTTACTACAGTATGTATAAACAGATAGCAATTGATTTGCATTTTTACTCATATAATAATTTATTACAAATTAAAAAATAGTCTTGCTAATATGGTACGTGGACAATGTGTGGCCATGGCAGTTTGGTATACCTAAGCCCGTGCACTATCCATTTTTACTATCATATTGGTTCCCAAATCGGGGTAAAACAAGTGATACAAACGATGCAATCGATGCAAATAATGGCAAGAATTTAGCACACTTTGAAAGAGAGCCGTTGAACACAAGGGTTGGCATAAAGTGTGCGAAATTGCATAAAATGTTTGGCAATAAGACGGCTGTCGGCGATATGTCTCTCAACATATATGGCGGGCAAATAACTGTACTGTTGGGCCATAACGGCGCCGGAAAGACCACTACAATGAATATGATTACCGGTATATTCCCGCCCACTTCGGGCACAGCATATATTGATGGATACGATATCAGACAACAGACTCGGAGGGCTCGCAAAAGCCTGGGTTTGTGTCCACAGGTAATAAAAAACAGTATATTTTATTATAGATTTTGTATTTAATTCCTAATTTAATGTTATTTCTATAGGAAAACATTTTGTACAGTGAGTTGGATGTGAGCCAACACTTGAAACTATACGCTATACTGAAAGGCCATCCCTGGGCTGATGTGGACAAAGAGGTCCAGAAAATGGCAGCTTTGGTTGATTTGACAGATAAGGCAAACACTATGTCTAATGACTTATCGGGAGGTATGAAACGCAAGCTATCGCTCGGTATAGCAATGATAGGCAACACTGAGATCTTAATACTGGATGAGCCGACCTCTGGTATGGATCCGGAGGCGCGAAGACATATGTGGGATGTCTTACAGAATATCAGATCCGAAAGGACTATATTATTGACCACTCATTATATGGAAGAGGCGGACGTGAGTCACACTTATTATTACCATAATTGTTATGTTTATATAATAATGATATACTGTTCCCATTCCTGTCCTGAGCACAGGCTTTGGGCGATCGTATAGTAATCATGAGTGAGGGACACATCAAATGCTATGGAAGTCCTATGTTTCTGAAGAAAGCATTCGGCGCCGGATATCACCTCCGGATCGCTAAGAACCGGGAGTTTAACAGCCAATCGGTGCTCAATATTATACGCAAAACAATGCCAAACGCGGACATCAAAAGTGAGATCAATTCAGAGATCATATACTCGTTGGAAGACAGCGACGAACGCGAGAGGAATAACAATGAAAGTACGACAAGTCGTCAACTGATCCAACTCTTTGCACACTTGGAGACCAACAAACAGGAGCTCAATATTGAAACATTTGGCCTAACGGTGACCACAATGGAGGACGTCTTCCTACGAGTGGGCAATGAATATATGGACAACTCTTCGGCCGACGAGTTGTCTAAAGCGGCCACTAATTCACCGCAAGATACGGACCTATTGTCGCATAATATCACCAAAAATACTGGCAATAAACTTATGCGACAACAGTTTTGGGCGCTTTTCATGAAGCGTTTCCACTACGCGAAGAGGTATTGGCCAATGATTGTCCTCCAGACAGTACTTCCGGCCATACTATTCATGTGTATCTTATTGTTGGATCAGTCGCTGAAAAGGGCGACAACAGAGACCTCAACGGTATCTCTTGAGTTGAATCTGAAGTCTATGTACGGCCCAACCGAGGGTTTCATTCAGTCGGCACTCAAAGACTTTAACGATAAGTATATTAAAGTGTCGACCAATAAAGATGTGAAGACACAAGTGATCACTGGTTTGTATTTATTTTACTTATTTATAAGTATTAATAATTATTAAAAAGTTTAACAAAGCAATTTATAAATTAATTATTTATTAAAATATGATTTAACTGTAAAATTATAACTTTAAACTAAATAATTATACATTTATATGTATATTAATGTAAATTAATTGTTAATTACAAACATACAGTAAACCCAAACAATTGGACTCTATCTGGCAATAGAGGGGACGATATAACTAAATATATCAACACGTATTTAGTCGGCGCTCAGATCAACACTACCGCCAAAGCCAACAAAACATCACTAATACTGATTCCCTGGTATAACAAGGAGGCCATACACTCACTCCCGGTGTCCATCAATTTCATATACGAGACTCTATTGAAACAGAAATTCAATGACAAACCATCGATCACACTATACAACCACCCGATACTATCGGACCAGAGTGCAAATACCATGGGTATGATTATGGTGACCATGGTGGTTACCTGTTTACTGCTGGTGCCCCTAACGGTGCCATTTATCGGCGCCTCGTATGCGTTGTTCCCAATCCATGAGCGCATCACTCAATCAAAACTTTTACAGTTAATGAATGGCATATCTGTTCACACGTTTTGGGCGGCGAGTTATCTCTTTGATATCATTAACCATTTGTTGGCCAGTATTATACTCTTCATTGTATTCGCCATTTTTGATTGTGACAAAATTTTCATGGGCAATGGTAAGCATTGGTTAATTTATTCCAGTATAACCATAATAGTAATAATAATCTACATTATTTACCATGACCATTCATAGCGAGCAACGCGGGCGGACTATTCCTACTATTCCTTATGTTTGGTCTGTCGGCCATACCGTTAGCCTATCTGTTCTCACTTCGACTCAAACAGCCCTCAACTGGTTATGCAGTTCTGGTCGTTGTATACCTGCTCTCCGGTATAGCCCTGTCTTTGACGGTATTTTTTGTGTCAATGCAAAAGCCGAAAGCGGCCGACGCTCTCGAAGGTGTGGCCAATATTATGCCCGTATATGCCATGAGTCACGGCATACAAAAGCTGTACAAACTGGGCTCGTATGCGGATGTTTGTAATAAAATGACCAGGGAGCATTTGGCTCAGCGGTGCGACAACAGTAACTATCGCATAGATAAAAGTAGCGACTACTGGGGCTGTTGTGTGAATCTGTGCAAACCCACACACGAGTGCTATTATGAACGCAATGCTTTCCAATGGGGTAAATACGGTATGTACAATAAGTTTTATGTTAAATTTATTATGTTACATTTATTTATAAATTAATTTTATATAATATAATATCAATTAATATTTTATTAAGTATTTTTCAATTAATACATGAGCGAGTTGAAATAATCGACTAATAATCTATTGTACTTGTACAAATATTTTATTCAAAAATGTTCTAGTTTAAAAATTTAACCTGAGATATTGCTAACCATTTGAACATATTATATACAATTAGGTATTGTAACGGAGTTGGTGTATATGATTGTTACGGCATTTGTCTATCTATTGATACTATCGCTAATTGAAAGCAATTTCCAAAAAATTAAATACATGTTTAATAAAAACTCAAAAATAACTGAAATGGTTAACAACGGGTACAGCACTGGACAGCAAAATGTTGTGCTAAACGTGGGCACCGGTGGTCAGGATATGGACTCCGATGTCAGTGCGGAAATGAAACGCATCAAAGGTCTGGTCGGCGCCAATAGGGGAACCACTGATGCGATTGTTGTGCAAAATCTGTGCAAAACATTCAAAGCGTTTCCAGCCGTCGATAACCTCTCGTTTGGCGTCCATAAGGAGGAGTGTTTCGGACTGTTGGGAGTGAACGGCGCCGGAAAGACC